CCTACATGGTTTCATTCATTATTGGTAATAATGAGGTAATTTCACTGATTCTTATGTGTAATCTCAGTTGAGATGTAAATAAAGTAATTCAGAGACTCCTATTTCTTTACAGTTGTGCTGATCGGAACAAGAGATTGCAATTTTGGCAACACAAATATAGCCATTTCATTCACTCTTCAAAATGACCCATGAACCTACATGTGTCTCCTGAATTTCATAGGTTTCTTTGGTACTATTTTGCCTTACAACACCCTGCATGTACCTTTCCACCACAAAGGATTAAAAAAAAAAGATTTAGGTCAAAAGCTCATCTCAAAACGTTCGTAAAACAATGTCTAAGCCTTGGGGAGCATATTTATAACCATTTCATGTAATAACTCTGTAAGTGACCTTTTAGAGGCATTAAATTCTCTAGATTTCTGGTTCTCATCAGCACCACTGTGAACAACTCTGTCTCGGCAAGTTTCTCTAGAAAGGGGATTTCACATCAGACCACTCTGAATAACTTGGTTTACATCTTAATGATTTAATGATGCAAATCAAAAAAAAAGATTTGTTGAAATTCCCATTTAAACAAAGACCAATATGTTGGAATGCATTAAGTTCAAATATAAAACTGGTTTGAGTTGAATTGGAAATTTTGGTGGGCCACTCTATCAACCTTTCATTATTTTATTGGAATTCTAAGTTGTAACAGATTAAAATTTATTCACAGCTCTTAAATTCCACCTGTCCTACAGAGACAGAACTGTTAAGGCAAAAGTTAAGGCACTTGAGAAAATAAGTTTTAAAAAGCTAATTATCTGGGCTGTAAGCATTTGTTTGTTCTGAAAAACACTGGTCTGACAATAAATACAAAAAACATTTTTATTGGTTTCCAAACCTCTCCAGTATTACTTGTGGTTACCATCCAACATTTGTTTTGGCTAATCAGTATATCATTACTTTAAATTGACTGTGCTGGTGATGGAATTTAACAAATTTAAGCAGTGGCTGGACGTCCAGGAGAAATCTGGAACCAAACTTTGTTCTTCAAACAACACAAAATATCAACTATTTCAGAAATATGTGTTTGTATTTATATGCATATTTTCTAATGATATAAAAGGATTTTAACCATGCATTTCTGAGATAAATGGTTTTAAACGATGTGCTCAGGTGCCAGACTTTTGCACAGTACTGTACATTTTTGCAATACTGACATTTGAACGCTAGATGGCGTAGATGTGTTGTCTATAATCAGTGAGGTTTTCTTTGGGCAATGGAAGATCCTGATTTCTAAAGCTTGCTTTGTTTTCATGTGTATATAAATGTAGCTTTGATTCTCAATTCTTAGACAAATAAACCACTCAAGTATGATCTGGCATAACAGTGAAAACCATTCAGACTTCTCCTCTTTAGGGTGCTGACTTGCATCCTACTACCACTAAACTAATCCACCCCAAAACCAATTTAGCTCTGTACTATGCTGTACATACAGCAATCAACTATTTAGTCTCATCACAGTATCATAAACTGTCATATACATGTCGTTGCTGTCCGAAGAAAAATAAGTATCTCCAAGATGGTAACTTTACAGAAGAGGGCAAAATGTTCTTTAATTTCATCATTTGCAAGTTAATGTGAAGAGATTTTATTTAAAGCAACCTTGGAGCATTTCAACTGGTTCATTCATCATGAAATAAAACTAAAAATCAGAAAAAAATGGAGATACTTTTTTTTGGGCAGCAATGATATGTAAATATAGTCATAACTAGGTCATTTAAGATGCACAGGGCTATCTGCCACCTCTCATATGTGTGCCACTTAAAATATAACATTACAGTAGAATACAGTAATCACTTTATTGCATTATTATGGTTGCGCCTTGCTTTAGTAAGGGAATTTTGCGGAATTTTTTCCCATAGAGAATGAATGGGGTGAACATTTGCATGCCAATCTAAGGTACTTCTGCTTGCCCGATCGACACAGTTTTTCATACACTATCTCAGGGTGGACCCCCAAGCATGAATTCACTGTCGTTCTGACCCGCACTCATCCGTTTGTAGTTTTATTCCATCCTTCATCTCTCCCATAGACTTACATTGAGTGGACTGTTGGCAGCATGCCACACGTGATGTCACAATGGGCCCTTAACTCACACACCCATACAAACTCACGCACAGAGCCCAATGTCTCACATGCTCACAGCCTAATGCTCAGCAGTGTCAGCACACATAATGATTTTTTAAGGTGGAACTGCTTTTAAGGTGGAATTGCACTTAGCTAGCACAAGAACTAATCCACCGCCATACTGACCCGCACTCCTCTTTGTGTCATTTTTTCATCCCTCGTTCCTCTCATTGAGTCCCATTCATTTTCGCCACCACTCAAACTCTATTACTTCTTCGCCCGACAGTCACCAAAACGCATGTACTCATTCAGGGCACCGCTCCAAACTCTTATCCACGGCCATACTGACCCGCACTCCTCTAGTTGTCGTTTTTTCATCCCTCGTTCCGCCCTTAGAGTCCCATTCATTTTTAACACCACTCAAACTCTATTACTTCTTTGCCCGACAGCCACCGAAATGCAAGTACTCACTCAGGGCACCGCTCCAAACTCTTATCCACGGCCATACTGACCCACACTCCTCTAGTTGTCGTTTTTTCATCCCTCGTTCCGCCCTTAGAGTCCCATTCATTTACAACACCACTCAAACTCCATTGCTTCTTCACCCGACTGCGAACAAACTACATGTACTCACTCAGGGCACATCCCCAAGCTCCAATCCAAAGTCATCCTGACCTGCACTCCTCTTTCTGTTGTTTTATCATCCCTCGTTCCTCTCACTGAGTCTCATTCATTTTCGCCACCACCCCAGCTCTATTACTTCTTTGCCCAACAGCCACCGAAATGCATGTACTCACTCAGGGCACAACCCCAAGCTCTATTCCATAGCCATACTGACCCGCACTCCTCTATTTGTCATTTTTTCATCCCTCGTTCCTCCCATAGTCCTATTGATTTTCGCCCAAACTCAAGCCCTATTATTTACTTTGCCCAAGAGCCACCAGAATTTAAGTGCTCATTCAGGGCAGATCCCCAAACTCTAATCCACAGCCGCACTGACCCGCACTCCTCTGTTTCTGATTTTTTCATCCCTCATTCCTCCCTTAGTGTCCCATTTATTTTTGGCCAAACCATAGCCCTGCTTTTTCCATTGTGCAACAGACACTGAAATGCATGGGCACATTCCCAAGCTCTAATCCACAGCCACACTGACCCGCACTCCTCTACATGTCGCTTTTTTCATCCCTCATTCCTCCCATAGCTTCCCATTCATTTTCTTTCACAACAAAGCCCTAATCTGTCTTTTTCTCAACAGCCACCAAGGTACATGTACTCATTCAGATCAGGTCTCCAAGCTCTAATCCACCGCCTTACTGACCCACACTCCTCTATGTGTAGTTTTTTCATCCCCATTCCTCCTAATGACATCCATAGTAACCGATGCATAACCATTCCACATTTCCTTCAGGAAATGCACTTTTCTAGTTATAACTGTAATTATATTGCATTACTATTATTATTGTATTATAATAACAATAGTGATCACTGCTTCCAAACAAACAAACAAAAAAATCATTGGCTCATTTGAAACTATGGAAACCCTTTAAAGATGAAAAAAGACAAAAAATACAGACAGAATTTAATAAATTCTTTTATTTTATAATATTATTTCTTTTGAAAAATATAAATTCTAAAATAATCACTTCTGCTGTGTGTTCTAAAAAGTCACAAAATTGTGGTTTTAAAATGTTAACAGCTTTAAAACACCTTACAATTATTATAAGCTTCATTTGTTTAAATGATCTACAATTTTCCCCAACATGCCTCCAACACATTCTTCAGTATTCCTCATTCCTCTACACAGCATCCAAAAAATATAAGTTAAAAATTCATTCATATACAGTGTTAAAAGAAGTCAACTTTGAAAAATTCGGTATAGTGTCATTTGTACAGAACTGATGATTTTTTTTATTTTTTTCAGAAAAGAAAAAATTACTAGTACAAAAAAAAACCTACATGGGATGTAGACAGAGAGGAAGAAGGCCGTTGGGTCACTCACACAGGTCATGAGTAGGACATGCAAACCTCATTCTGGACATTGCAACCATTTCTCCATGTCTGCAACCAGTGTGGGCTGCAGTGCTTGCGTCACATTTGTTGGTGTTTTATGATATGCCAATAGAAATACAAGTGCCATTCTACGACTGCCCAAGTCATTAAAGTTTACAAGCAACTTACGAAGCAATATGACATTTGATGACAACTAGATATCGCTCAAATAATGCACACAATGGAAAAAGATTGGTTTGAATTACTTGGAATAACAGCAGTGATCTACTTAACTCGTTTCATGGAGGCCTATTATTGCAGTTCATAGTTAAGTCACTTAGGTAGGTCATTTGTGCAGGATAAACAGATCTAATAGGAAAATGCAGGACAATATTAAGGGCAGTGATAACCAGACGTGGTTGCAGAAATCTACAGCATGTACATATCTTTTAAGTAAATCAATGCAACCATAGTGCAAAATAATATTTTAAAAAATGGATCTTTAGTTATTAAAACAATAATCAGGACTTGCACAATGATTTTCAATTGGGAGGGGATGAAAAAATACTATAATACTGCATTAATGTAAGATTGTAAAGCTAAGCAGGATCAATACCATTAAATATCACTAAAAGGTTAAGAACAGCCATGTATAACAATATATTATATATTATCGCAAATATTGTTCTCCATTTTAATAACACATTTTAATCTTCAATGCTTTGTTCAGGAGGTACACTAAACTGACAGACAGGATATTAACATTAAAATTCCATGCTGAGCAATAAAAAATCAACACCTTTTTTCTTTTTCTATTTTTTACAGAATGCCCGTCATCTAAAATAAGAGGTAGAGCTACAAAACAAAACCAAAAAATATCAAAATATTATTTTCCTGCTACAGGAAAATGCAATTACAGTAATTCCTTATATAAAAAAGGAGGAAGGAAATATCAGGTGAGAAAGAGAAGAGATGTGATGGGAAGGGGGCGGCTGGGTCTCCTCCCCACACGTGGTAAAAAAAAACAACTACAGCATTTTGTGTTGATCAGAGGAACAGCGAGCAGACAAATTGCATAGTAGTAAGGAATGATGATGGTCAGCCAGCGTTCTTAAGAAGTAAGTGGTGGACGAGCAGTGAGTAAGATTTCTTGCATGAAATGAAGAAAATAATTAAAATGGCATCCATGATGACTTTAGATGAGAGTTCAGACATTACGCTCCTTGACGTGGTCACAGAAAGCATCCATGAAAATCTTTTCAAGTTCCCTTAAAATATTCCTTGACCGGACGGCTTTCCACTTGACCTTGATGTGGATGTTGACTAACTGCACACAATGATCGGTCATCCTGTAGGGCGCTGATTGGCTGAATGTGCGGATGGGGGAGGGGCTATATTGATGTCTCGGACCCTCGAGTCCTCCAGAAGTAGCCGTCGTTGTCGTCATCTGGGTCCATGTCTATTCTAATCTGAGGCACGTTTAACGGCAGTCTCTCTGGACTAAGAGGAAAAAACAGAACAGTAAATAAGAAACTTAATATGCTGATTTAATTAGTTGTTTTAATTAATTACACAAAAATCACACCTGCACTTCATTAGAAACACCTACATTGTACTTATACTAACTGTCCTTTTACCATAAACATTGTATGTTTATGACTAATGCCTGTCCACTGCCCAAAAATATCCAGCCAGGAGTGGCTCTGTGGTCAGAAACTGACCACTGATAAGAACCAGAGCAGAGGTCTCAAACTACCAGACTGCTTCATATGGCCCATCATGTTTACAATTTATCCTTAAATCCACCCAGTTTTCTTTTCATTTTTCTGCAGCTAAATATTTCCATTTGACAGGCAGATTTGCTTCACCCACCAGACACTGTATTCGATTAATTACTCTGATGATAATACTGTTAATGGGAAAAACAGAGTGCTATATGCAAGACCACTCGAATAAAAACCTGAAGCAGCATGAACGCTGCGCACTGAGCAGCATGGTTGTTATAATTTTGCTAATATCCTAACTAACCTACAGCTAAATCTGCTTTTGTGGATTCATTCAAGGCATAGCAGTAGATAAAGCATTTATCTGTAATTATCAGACAAATCCACACTGTAATCAATTTAAAGCTCATCTTTATCACCACCAGCCTCAGCTTACTGGATCACTGCCACTGCAGCCTACAGCACGCTAAAGTCTGTATCCATATTTAGTATAGACCACAGTACATTGTTGGAGAGAAGTCATAGATATCTGACCATGTGGATAACATGCCAGGAAAACAGAAAAAAAACAGTAAACTACTCAGCAATGTTTGTCCAGACTGTATCTGTGTTTGTGTGACCCTCGCTGCCACTAATCTGGGCTCTTCCAAGGCACTGCTTAACCCATCCAGAATCCTCTGCTCCTCATCCACAACAACCTCCCTCCCTCCCCACCTATATCAGGTCATCCGGAAGCCCTCTTGTCATGACTCACTACTGCTAAAGCCACATGATGAGCACACACACACATACACACACAGATACACTCCCACACATTTAAATATACCACACTCAAATTAATCTCCCCACTCCTCACTGACCACTAACATCTTCTGACTCACCTTGACATCGGACTGTCCTGGTAGTAGCGCAGTGTCTCAACATGATGTATATCGTTCAAGAAATGAAGGGGTCTTTTCTCCTACAAAGGAAAATTGGAAAGGGAGGTAGTTAGTATATGTCTGCACCACACAACATGCATTCTTGGGGTGACAGAGGTTTATATCACAGTACTAAAAGACATATTTTCATGATACACATTACATATTCTTCTAAGGTCTGATCATTTAGCACAGACACATTTAAGAATTATCAAAAACTATGATTTTTATTTAATATTTCACACACTGCACTGCATTATACTGCACTAAATTCAATTAAACAAATGAATTATGCTCTATTTGTAATGTAACATGCAGCTGATCAGTATTCTTTAAGTACTGATGATATCCATGATATACTTAGAAAAGTGTACCATGATGGAATTTATCACAATAACGATAACATATTGATATACTGCCCGCCCCAATACCCCCGCTGTTCCAGATACACATGCAATACCATTCAAAAGCTTGGAATGCTTTCAATAATAAGCAAGCAAGACGGCTGCAGATACACAAAGCTAGGAAGCTGTAAAAAAATTTTTTTTAGATGTGTCCATAATGATGAACCGAGCTGTAGATGTTTTCTGTAGAAAGTGACTGAGAAAGCTGTTTATGACTGAGATAGCATTTAGAATAAATAGTTAAAATAAAATGATCCACAATTTCACAAAATAACTGTGAACAGACTTCTTGTTGTTCCCGAAAGTACTTCAAATATCAAATGGCATCTAAAAATACCTTGAAAAAAAAGAAAAAAATGAAAAAAAACTTTTGAATGGTATTCTTCATGCACAGACTATTTCTGGAATGAGCAGCTAAACTCCAGCTTATGCACACTCTAATAGTGTCAACAGTAAGGTCCATTTAGCAAAGAAAAACTTTCCAACGTTCCATGCATGTCAACATGAATCCGCCTGGCCGAGGTCGTGCACAACAACACTACTAGACCACAAAGAGATCTTTCCATTTATTTGCAGTCCAGCAATGCATCGGCTAGGCAAATGATGCAAAATGAAGCAAATGTTGTTTTGGACTACAAGACAAATTCAATATGAATGCATGCTCAATGATTAGAATCTCAAAGAAATTCATGCAAATTAAACACAATCAAAGAGAGAAAGAAAGGTTAGATCCAAGAGAAACATAAGTTATTAAGATGTTTCAGCTCATGCTGAGAGCAAATTGAATCTATGATCAGAGAGAAGACGTTAGTAATATCAGGCACTGCAAGAAGAAGACACAGAAGAACAGAAAGGCATGCCAGAAGGTTAAAAAGGCCGCAGGCTGGCTTCTGGGACCCCGCGGGGGGCCTGAGAGCAGAGTGGAACGGCTCTACTTCTACTCACTGTCAGAGGCCTTATCCCCTAAAAAGGGTTCCTGCTCCATCATGTCCAGGGGGATTTTAATGCTGGGGACGTTCTCGTTGGACTGGTAGTCAGACTGCAGAAAGGGAGAAGTGTTCTTTCAATACTTAAGGTGGGGAGACCTTATGCAGGCATAATGCTGCTTCATACCTGCAGGCTGCTATGGATCCACACAACATCGAGTTTGAATCATACAAATAGCATTTAGCTGAATAACCAAATGATTTTAGTTTTGAAGTGTCACTAATCTGCTGTGAAAAGACAACTGGCAACAGTAACATTTCTCATTATAAGATTACTGGAACATTATTAGATTAATTTAACCTATTTCTAGAAATGTTACTTATTGTAAGTAATCCTGTCAAGTGAAATTGCACCAACAAATCATTTTACTTTCTTCACACAAAATTATCTGTTGAATAATTAAATTTAAATATTCTTACAGTAATCCCATAATTAAATAATATAATATATATTGCCATATAAAATCATTACTTCTGCTGATATCACTTTCTGTATGCGTAGTTTACAAATATGATGTACAGTACAGATATAAATGATGCCCTTTAGGCTGTGATCTTGTTCAGAAATACCTTATTTGCTTGTTCATTTCGTGTCATGAAAGACAACATAAAACAACCTTCAAACTGAATAATATCACAAGTACACTAAAAAAGTGACTCGGCATGGCCACTATGATAAGGAAACCTGTCCCCAGAGATCCTGAGTCATGGGTGAATCGGAGAGGGAAATGATGCAGTAGTGGGTTTTTAATAGGAAGCCTAATGGAAAGTGACAGTTGTGCTGGCTAATGCAGTATCCCCTAGTGCCTGGTGTTTTTCTCAGGAGCTGTGACAAGAGCCACTAAACCAGGAGAGACAGAAAAGTCCACTGACATGACCTAGAGAACGTTTCTGCACTACACTGTATCTTCCTGAAATAATATAATTCTTACATCCAACTAAATGTAGTGTAGAACAAATGAACATTCAGAGTTGCATGGCCAATATAATTGCTCTATTTAATATGGCTTCAAAATGATTGAGAATTATGTGTTCATAAACACTAACAATCGTAGTAATATTAATTGTGAGCGTTTTAAGCTGTATAATTGTGTTTATAATAATGTGTGTGTTTGGGGTACTTACATCATCCACATCACTATCTAAGCTCCCTCTTTTCTTCTTCTTCTTTTTCTTCTCATCTTCCTTCTTCTTCTTGTCTTTCTCTGGGATGACATCATCCAGGAAGCTGAGGTCATGCTGAGAAAAGACGTAGTCCATGGCCTTCCGCACAGCAACCAAAGCCAGGATCTGCAAAATCATGGAAAAAGACATGTATCACTACAGCATTAGATCCACACTTAGAGGAGAGGGTTGTAGGTTATTATGTGCTACAATGTAAAAGACTGTCCTTTCTATGTTTATGTTTCTTTTCATCGATAAATAGTAAAGAAGAAGGAACACTGAGCGTACTGGACTATCCAGTCTTTTCAGTCTTCTTGAAAGGGATTAAAGGAATTTACACATGCCTAAAAGACTGTAGAGCAGTTTAGCAGCTTCCACTGTTTTCAACATATCACCACAGTACCCAAAATAAACAACTCTACTGGCTTCAAATTCTACATTCTAGTAAGACAATTACATCAACAAAACAAATTTAACTTTTATAAACCATTATAATCAAGGATTGGGCTTAATCTGTGTCCAGAAAATCAATCTCAAAGATTACTGCCATCCTAGCCCAGACAGCAGAAGCTGGACACAGTGAACTCACCATGACTGGGAAGACAATGGCAGCCACAGTGGACTTGAGAATCCAGAGCAGGGCCAGGCACAGCATCTGGACGAAAGTGAACAGGTGGACCTTGCGCAGCGGCACGTGTCGCAGGTATATCAGGTCGGGCTGGTGCTTGGCAGGCATGAGGAGCAGCTGCAATCGGTCCATGAACTGAAAGAGTAGCATACAGCATTAGGGGAAGCACTTGCACAGCAGGCAGGAACACTGATTAGGTGTCAATATGTATGATTTGTCTGTTAATCAGTATCAGCATTTTAACTTGTCTTGCTGATAAAAAGCATTTATGTGACGCATGCAGATCTGTAATGGAACCATGATGAGCAGAAATTCTTCTGGCTCAATGTTCCACCCACAGCCTCACTGGATTGCCCAAAATCAGTATGATGTTTCAAATACAACCAATCAAAGCTTCAGTAGCCTGTCTCAGTATTCTGCCCACAGTGCTATGGACTGAGTGAAATCAATCAAACTTTCCTTTTCAGTGCCTCTGTGTTTGTGAGACTTGGTTAAAGGGCTGCATGTGTATCTACAAACAGCTGTGCATGAATCTGAGTGGAGGGATAAAAACATGCTGAAGTTGGACTGCATTGCTGTTTGGCAAAAAGCACAACTCACTCAGTAACATAACTTCAGTCCCTCACTCTCACACTCACAGATTCACTGGTAGATTTCAGAGTCAAATCGGATTCATATACGAAGCTCGTAAAGTGCCTAAAACGATTATTAGATAAGAATAAATTTATTGTTCATAAGAGAAAATAGTGTGCAGACTCAAGCTTTGTTTTGTCCTAATTTGGCTGCACTCTACCGTCAAAGCAATTTTCTATATTTGTGTCTTTAGACTATCTGAAGAACAACAGCCTGTGTGTTTGTTATAACTTTGATGCAAGCTAAATCCAGGTGCTTAGTACACTTTACAGCTTTAGTTAAAACTCATGTGATCTTCAGTTTGTTTGTGTGCTTGTTTTTGGGGAGTTATTTATTTCATTGCATGTTTTTCATTTGTATTACTTTTATTTTTAGCTATTACAATTTATTTTAAAATGTATCATTACACTTTCTCCTTGTCATTCCCAAATGTACTGTCTGGATGCTCTATATAATTTATTTTTATAATGTTCAAAGATTTAGTTTTAGTATTTCTTTAAACATCATGTTAATGTTTATTTTTTGTGGGAATTGTGTGACTATAATTTTAATCACACTATTCAAACCAAATTTATCAGCTATTGGTCTCCTTGTCTACTGATACTGAGTATCAGTATTGGCCCTGAAAAACACGAGTCAACCCTTAATATGGAGGTCAGGAAAATGTGGCTGTAGCTCAGGGCCTGATGTGTGACTGACTCACCTGGACTCCATTGAGTGAGGCAACCCCCATGTAGAGGAAGACTCCATAGAGGACAGGCATGGGAATAAACTGCAGAGAACAACACATTACAGACGCACATTACAGCATGTCAGATAATAATATTATATTGAGTAACTCAACGTCTTTTGTTAAACTGTTTCACATCTCGTTTTGAAAGTTGTGACCGAAGATTGTGTGCAGTTCTGAGCTCGTGCTGGTAGGGGTTCCTGGCTCTTTTTTTTCTTAAATGACACACATAAATGCAACTTCTGTTCTAATAGCTCCCCCTTATGGAGAAACTTTAGACTGATAAATGAGGCCATGTGAGAGAGTGAGTTCCAAATTCACATCCGTGAGCTTTCTATATGAAAAAAGATGTTTTCCATTGTTATAGTGGAGATGCAACTACAGATGCCTGAGGAACAACATGAAAAATTATATTTTCATAATTTTGTAACTCATCTGAGACATTTAGGACACTTAAGTTGTATGGGAAATACTTGGAATTTTCATCAGATGGTATACTGCAAACAGCTTATTAATGCCCTATAATAGTCAATTGTTTAATCCAATACTAAAAGAGAAACATATATTACACTAAAGTATTATTTAGCATGCTGTTTAATATTAAATTAGTCTTCTCTAGTTCTCAGTCAATTCTCTCTCTCACTTCACACTGCAATTGTCGTTTTGAAGGCATCATTACTGAGTTACTTGTCAATCATCATCGATACTCGATTACACAGGCCTACTTTGTAGTGAAAACGTCTGCATTACCTTGAGAATGGGAGACATAAAGACAGACAGGCCAGTGAGAAGGAACACACAGACACCAGTCACTCTCTGCTCCCTGTAAAAAAAAAAAGAATTATGATACATTGCAAAAAATATTGGTTAATCTAAAAAACAGTGTCTGTACTGCTAAAGCAGAAGTAAATAAATTATCATTGAAAGCTACTGAAGTATTTCTTGTAATGCATATTTTAAAGGCTCTAAGTTGTATTTTCTTCAAGTCTGAGGCTGCTAACAGTATTTATATTTGTGCAGCTTACAGCTGCATAAATGCAGCCTCCCTGAAGCCTAACTAAATAAGCAGCCTTTTAAACACAAGTGCCCCACTGTGCTGAACTCCACAGTGCAGCGGCAAACAAGATCACCACTTTATCGGCTCCACACATAGAGGGCGGAGGCCGCCATTAGACTGACACAAAACATTCATAGCTTTGTTTGCACAGACAATACACATTGTATGGTACACTGTATATGTGATTTGAATTGAATCCATATTTACCTATGATATAAGCATCTATTTTTCCACTCAGACAGTGCAACGACACCATAATCAGGCACAGGACAACCACGATATAACAATCTGTGTTTCCAAATGTCATGAATGAAAATGCTTTATCGGTGAAACTTACCTGACCCCCAAAAATTTTGGCTGCTCCCCAGGAGCTGACGTCTCTGTTTCCATCTTCAAGCTGTCTATGTGGGCGATAGAAATAACAGTAGCAGCGACGTACCAGGGTAGGCCCATGAAGGAGCACAAAGCGATCAGTACAGCCACCCAGAACAGATCTAGATGGTAGCCCGCACCTTTCTATAAAATATGAACCAGAGAGACAGAGGGAGTTACAGCTAGAGGTAGTTAGAGGGGTAAACTATGTGTTTGGTTTGCTGGTTCTGAAAGACATGTAACAAAACACTGGTGACTGTGCCATCAAAGGCTTTAAGTTAACAGCTTGTGGCTTTACTTGTGTTATTTTATTAAACAGGCAGAGAAATACTGGGCTAAGCCAGCCATTCATTAGAATAAAAGAGAAATGTTAAACAACCATGAAAAACTTCTAATGCATTAAAAGAAAAAAGACAATCCAGATCCAAGGCTGTAGTGGTGTAACCTGATTCACATCCACAGGACTCATACAATAACAATAAAACAGCTCTTTCTTAGCAGCAAGGCTTTGAGGTATTGGATGGAGGAGGACTCAGTGTTATGAGGCAAGTATCATGTTACATTCCCCAAAAGGGAAATGAAAGGATTGTTTTCGGCTGCTTCACAATCGCTTCCTTGTTGTGCTCCTCAAAATCTGTTCACATTGGTAGCAACAAAGAGGTCAGTTGATGAGACTGCTGAATAAGCAGTGTGAGGTTGGCCTGAATGGAGGAAAATTCTTCATAACACAACTCTGCTTATGATTTGTGGTATCATGTCATATGCTTGGCGTATTTACTACAAATCAATTCAAAGACTGCAAGTGGTGCTCTCACAATGGAAAGTTTGCCTCAGAGCTTTTGATCTAAATCAAGAAGGGACCAATTTATATTTCTGATCTATTTTCATCCAAATTTTCCGCACTCACCATCATATATGACTCAAAAGACCTGCTAGAATGAAGCTATTTTTTGCATCCGAGTCCTTACTCACTTCCTAGAAACAAAGGAGGAGTGAAAAAATAACATTCCATTCACAAGTGATCTATAAATATGGCAGTATTGGCACAGAGCGTGTGCCTGGCCGTGGTTGCTCACAGCACCATGGGTTTCTCCTGAGCTCCTTGCAGGCTAAAAGTGAGCGTGTTAAACCATCCAGCCCCGGAAGCTCGACACTCAACCATGCTTTCTCTACCTTCAGCTTGTGCTCCTTGCGGTTGACAATCACAGCGGTGATCTGCTGGTCCATGAAAAGCAGGATGGTGACCAGCAGGGCGGGCAGAGCTGATGCCAGATAAACCCACCAGGGGTTCCCCCCAAACGGTGTCACGAACCAGCCACGGAGAGGGCTTGTTGGCTGCAGACCAGGAGAGAGGAGAGATGTTTGGGTGACGAGAAAGAAATAAAAGGCTCTATTAAAGTTTGCTAAAACAATAGCATTCATAGCAAGTAAACATTTAAAAGGAATTTCTTTTAACTCCTAAATGCATATTTCTAGTCACTAGCAACCTGTGACCTCATTTCAGTCCATCTACTTTATAATTTCTTTTTCAAATAAGTTAAAAGTAAATGTGAAATATATTTTTATATTTATTTATATTTGTAGTTTGTGTCAATAAAATGTTTTGACAATGTTTTAACACTCTGAAATACAGAGGTTGGCAAAATACATTTAAGAGTCAATGGAATATTTTCCATTACTATGCTTGACTTGAGAAAAGATTTGAAGCTCACCTTAAATTCACTTGGCACAATGAGCTTGGGCGTGTCAACACCCACCAAAGCATCGACACAGCAGAAAATCAGGATTGCCAAGATAATGGCAAAGTCACTGATGAGTTTCCTCACCTACAGACAGAAAGAACTGTAAGTATAAACAACCAAATGACTACATGATGTTATGATAGGATCAGAGCAAACAGTCAGGACGCTGCCCCCTTTAATCCATAGCTTTTGTGAATAGATTAAAGTTATGGGCTGCCAAAGGGAATTTTTTTCCACACTGCTGGTATACCAAGGGCCACCAAACAGAGCTGTATGGCTGCTTACCGTGGTTGGGAAGAAAGGGCTTGTCTTGAACTTTTTCAGACACATTGAGCAGGTGTAGGTGCCAAAAAACAGAATGAAGGACATGAGGGTGATGTCGGGCACAAAGTCGCAGGCCTTGCCCACCAACTCGCCACCATACTTCAGACATTCCTTCTTTGACAGTGAGGACCAGGTAGCATTTAGTGGCTAATGGATGGAAAAGAGACACCCTGGTCAAAACAAGAAAACCCTACTCTAACAAACTAAGTTAATGTGTGCTTTTCTTTGGGAGGTTTATGGCTTTGTGAACACAGATTAAAATTAGCTTTGAGCTTAAAACAGGACATTTAAGGATGAATTCTCAATTACTGCCCTATCTAAGACTAGCTTGACAAACCACTCAAAGTTCTGTACTTAGGAGATGTAGAAAGACAGCCTACATGCTACCCAAGACACTACACAAGACACTGAAAGATATTATGATATCATCATACCCATAGGGCAAATATTAGAGGTGCAGAGTGAAATCTGCCTCTGCCGTTGTCCTACATTGCACAATGGAAGTGGCACAGGATCTGAGATTCATTTCAGAGAAGCCACCAATATGGTGGCAGGGATTGTGTTTGGGCATTACATTTCAGTGAGCTCAAACTGAGGGCACAAGCTGAAAGAGTCTATAGTGACAATAGCCATTTTCTATGTGTGCTGGCAAAGGCTAGAAGTGTATTAATGGGCCAAATTTCAATTGAACCTGGGGGGTGTAATATTTAAAAGGGAGCAGTGCAAGTTGAGATTGGAAGTTTTAGTTGTGCCTTAATTTTCTTCACATAAAGAAAAGGCAGAACTTACTAAATCAGTGTAGTTGTAGTACCAAGTGGTTGTTCCATCCATTGGATCATTGTACACATCTGAAGCATTTACTGAAAGACAAATGAGCAGGATAAAGTGATCTACACATAGCAACACAAGCAAGACTTTCTTCTTGATTCATTAACACAGAATATGTCATAAAATGGAGTGTCCTTGTCTAGTTACGCCAAACTTTGGGGAGGTAATCATAGTAAATCACAGTTACAGTATAAAAATAATCAGCATATGTTTTAATTTGCTGACTAAAGCGCTGCAGTGCACTTGAAATGTAGTCAAAGCTAATCAATCAATCATTGATTTAATATTGTTGATCAGGAACAGTATACGTCACTGCAAAATACAGGATGTTTTACAAAAAGATTAAAAACCGAGTGATTGATCTCACTACACTTCAGTTATCCTGCCTTATAGCTGGGAAGCTTTTAGCTTGCTGTTAACCAAACAGACCCTATTTAGACCAAAAAAAAAGAATAATTTAACCAACCAAATCAACAAAAAAGAAAAAAAAAAAACCTTCTTTTAACACTACCAAATATGACAATAGCATAACAAAACTGAAGTAAGACTTTTATTTTTTCAGCCAGCAATTTACTGTGACTAGTCCACTCTGCAGAACAGTGTACATCACAGAACTCTGGACAATTTATTATTTTATTCAGAGAGACAACTGGTCAGGGGAAAAATGTCCTCCATAACACATCATTCAGCCATGTCTAAGAATAGATGAAGGAAAAAAATGCAATGCTAGAGATGGCATATCATGAAAGTTTATTCACGTGACAACAGACTTCCGTTTCCTCTATTCACCAGCCTCCTCTGTTACAGATTGTCCTGTTTTGAAACTGCATTTATTTTAACTCTTAAAAGATGAACAGTGGTGTTGGTACCAGGCCATTACAGCACAAAATTATTCCTAATTCTGGAGTACTAGTATAAATTTGTTATAGACCAAAAAAAAATTCCACACTGACACTCTTCTATACCAGTAATTTGCTAAAACAATACTACTCCAGTCGTAGCTGGTATCAAAAAATAAGTGGGGTTTGGAAACCACTGGTGTTATGAAATATTACAGAAGTGCCCCTTTCTTTTTTTCTGCCCTCTTTATCTTTCTCTCCTGCAGAATTACTCTCAAGCTTAGCCATCACTTCCTTCTGCTGGTGAAGAGCTACAAACGGCAGCTGTGGCAACCCATGCCGCGTACCATGAGCGCTCACTACCTTTCTTCTGCATTAATCTTTAAAGAGCCTTATAGCTTCAGCTGCTCATAACTGGGACTAATTTCCACGCAGCTGTTGTTTCTCCCAGTGCCCATCTGGGGCGCCATGAACAGAGGAAAGCCAGGGGGAGGGTGAAGAGTGCCGCTTCAGAGGAAGGCGGCAGGTGGCGGATAAACACCCTGCCCACCTACTGGCCAACCTACAGGGGAGGTAACCCTGTCACCTCCATTTTACCATGAGCATATTCCTTCCTCCCTGTTGAAAGCTCACTCTCACAAACATGTGCCCTCGCACACACATAAACATCCTGTCTAACACAACAAATTCACGATGTCAGCTGCTACACGAGGGACGGATGGCTGTTGACAGCACTAACAACAGATACATGAGTGATGCTGCTCTGTTAAAGACAATAGATCTTACAGTTCTATGTGTGCCACACACTGACACATTGGGTGTCAAATATTAGTCATTTGCTAAGTGTTTCTCAATCTAATCCACAACGTTGCTATATTCCAGCTTCCTTGCATACCTGTACCATGAGTGCACTTCTTGATTGCTTAGTTCAGGTGTGTTGGGAGCTGTGTAAAAATATGGACTGACTGAGACTCTGTACTGTCCTATGCTATTCTAGTTCAACATTGCTCAAGGCAACAAAACAAGAAATGCTTTATTTATACTGGAAAAACATGCTATATTGTGTCTGCTACAAGACCCAAGTCTGACTGTGAATGACAAAATATCAGGTTTCGGGCTGAGTTCAGGCAGATTTTTCACGTACAACATCAGGCTCAGGTTTGTTTTCCAATAAGTGATTTTAATGTACTTTGATTTTACTTAAAGTAATATGCCTACTTAGATTTCACACACTTCCATGAACTTTCTAGAATATATACAAAGCCAGTCTTACTAACTCTTCACTATGGATTAAATGTAAAGGAAGCTCACTAAAGGGGAATTGTTTAAAATTCCATTCAGAGACAGCTTCATTGTAAAACATCATGATCTGGTCTTTAAATCAGAAAAAGTCACACCGATCACATACAGTGTATAGCAGGGGTGCCCAACCCTGGAGATCTACCACCCTGCAGAGTTTAGCTCCAACCCTTATCTAACACACCTGAGTCAGGTAAAAAGGCCTTCAGGGACATCTGAATATTGAAGCTAGCTGTGTTGGGTCTGAACTCTCCAGGGTGGTAGATGTGCAGGACCAGGATAGAGCACCCCTGGTGTAGAGCTTGTAATAGTATATAAAGCTACAAAAGCAGGAAGGCTGGCACATCGTGTCTTCAGCAGCCTCTTCTGGATAAAGCCGTTTACTAGTCAGAAACAAATGTCAGTGTCAGAGTACTTCTTTGCACCAGTTAGGTCAGTGTTGATTACAGAAAGAGCTAATTTTCTGTGGATCAACAGGCATCAGTTCAGGCCTGTGCAGACCTCTAGTACTTGCTAGTTAGAACTGTTTCGTTCACAAAAATACTTTTAACTGCTACACTTCACATTGTGAAATCTAAATATTTTAATGAATAAGACTAACAGACAACAAGCTTTTGCAGTAAATCACAGCCATTTAGCTTTAAAGTACAAGCACTAGGACAGAAAGACCAGCCTCCTCCTTCTTGTAGTCTGAACTGATGGGGTAGGATTACTGTCGAACTAACTTTGTTAGTTCACGTGCTTGGTGACAATCGCACTCAAAAGACAAAGACGTGCACAGACTTTAGGTAGTAACACTAATACATGGGTTTATTTTAACGATAACCTGACTTCTTTTATCCTGTAGACTTTTCCCCTTTTTTTGTGCCATGAAAATGTAAGAAAATGTGGATGCGAAATGGCTAGACTTCTAACCTGCACTTTGCCTCATCTGTAAAAACACATTAAAATCAAGCATTCTGATATCTGATTCATGCTGACTTTAAAATATGATTTACTCTAAAAGGGTTAATGAAACTTTAATGCTGGCCACATTTAACAATCCATATCTCTCTGACTTCACCCTGTGGTTTCTTCACATGTTTCTAACACTTGTGCATAACTGTAGGAAACCATTAGATGGTGTAGCAAGTTGAGGGTGTCTTAACTTCAACATCTCTCCTACAACATCAACTCATCCACAGACCACAATGTAAAACTACATTAGGTAAGATTATAACATAGCCTTTGAGCTCAAGCGCTCAGGGCATATCCTAAAAGGCCACTTACCAAGGAGAAAAAGGTCAGCTTGTGCTAAATCAAGTTTGCTTCAGTGAGTAAGCACTGTAATGTGCATCAGTTCACCGAAAAATGCAATGGACATTTTGCTGTTCTTTCTGCTTGGTCAGCAGCACCCATCTCTTCAAGCATCTGGTGTTGACTTAATGTGGCCTGCCTTACCACTCTAAAAGAATACCTTTACTAACACTCACTGAAGCCTAACTAACCCACTTTGAAATTTCCATGGGCCATTAAAAAATAAGTGTTTCTGGGTGTTCAGTCAACACTGAAGAATTCAAGAACCCCTAAATCCAAACAGAAACTTCAGTAACAAAATATTTGAATGTTGGTTTCTTCAGTAAGAAAACAATTTGAACATACTGGTTCCTACCTATAGTGGGTGCCATGCACATGCAGTCGTACTGCGTGACATAGTCAATCTTGTAGTCTGAGTTGATGGGGTAGTAGTGGGCCAGCTTTATCATCTTCTTGAAGGCATCATAGATGAAGATGAAACTGATCAGTGACGAGAAACCTTCCTCTGTGAAGCGGGTGAAGTACTGTACCAGGAAGCTGGCGTCGGTGGCCACCAGGACCAGGCAGAAGAAGGCCGACCACAAGCCGATCCACAGCCGGAACTCCAAGTAGTCAAACTGGTTGTCCCTGCAGGAACAGAATTGGGTTTAAGAATTGGGTGAATTAAAAGTAGACTTTTAAATGTAAGTTTTGTATGTAATTGTATGTAATTATTAAAATACTGACAACAGACATTATGCTGATATATTCAAAATCTAATTATACTATATATCATCTTTTTTGTTTGTTTTTTATTTTTTCTACAAAAACTGAAAATGACAGCAGCTTTTTACAATGTGTTAAAATTTCATGATGATTTGAGCACTAGAAATGCACAAAAATTACTTCCATTAACTTACATTCAAATTGTTTTTCTCCTGTACAGCAGGCGACGATATATAAAATATACAATATACTCTAATCTAGTCACTGTCAATATGTTACATTTTGTATGGAATATTAGACTGTACTGTTACCACACATACTGAAGAACTGGAGACCACTACTGGTAAAAATAAATCCAGCTATAAATATAGTATAAATATATACTAAATACATGAGGATATAAATATACTGTTAACAGGCCCACAGACACTGATTACCACTCGACATCATGATCTGCTGATTTATTTTGTTACATGTATGAAGTAGAAGCAGAAGAAAATTAGAAACCTGCTGAAGTTGAAGAGGAGCCTCTCAAAGACAAGCACAGGACCTGTGCTGCTGAGAATAGTGAGAGGCTGTCCAGCAAGGAGGCAGAAGACGGCTCCAGAGATTGCTGTGCCCAGAAAGCTCTCCAGCACACCCTTCAGAGAGAGAGAAGCATTCAGGCAGGGAAGTGTAGATTAAGTCTGGTAACTGTGGTGAATTATTAGGCCTGCATCCTGGCTTACTGGATCACCCTGGTGACAATTTTGGTAATCTTCAAGATCTTGTACGGTTGTTAGGGGTCCCAATTTGTTACGTCTTTTAACAACTTTTTGAACAACAGTTTAGGAAACTCCTATTTTTCACTAATTTTCCTTTGACTTTCCCCTTCTGTACGCCAGTTGATTATTTTATATCTAATATGCCAAAGGATATCCTTTATCCATTTTAGAAGAAATATGCAAAACAGCTAAAGTGTGTTGGAGTGTTTGGGAATAGCTTTTGTTGGGAGGACACAGCTGCAACACACTGGTTTTAAGATTGGAAGAATGGAAGAATTCACATGGACCCAAAAACGAGTGGACAAATTTGATATTATACTTAATGCGTGTACTTGTGTATAAATATTCTTAGCTTTTATGTCATCTGTTAAATATAAGTTTCTTGTTTTTTTCTTGATGCTGAAAAATCACTAACTTGTACATAATGGCTGTTTTGACTGGAAACTTTGACTTTTGTATAGAGCTGTATATATGAATGTTGGTGAATAACACATTACTAAATGTAGTGCAAAAGTACTATTTTTATATCCACCTGCATATTTTCAGTAGCATCCCCAAGTAGTCCTCCAAACGTGATAGCATTAGTGACCGTTCCTAGATAGATAAACAGAATGGCAGACAAAGACTGGATGTGCAGTGCATCGTAGAAATCGCTGGCAAAGAACGGGGCTTTCCTCTTGATGTCAAGTATAAGGCCTCCGCAGAATCTGAAAAAGGATTTAAAATATTTAGATTTCAAATTGTACATTCATCAACAAAAACTATGGCAGCATATTCCAGACTTTTTTTGAATTCAAAACTGAAAATACTAAGTAAATTGTGTATTTACAACTGCATTTCCCATGTTAGTGTGTATTATTCAAGACATAATTACAATTGAAATGCAAAATGTGTATATGCGTTTGCATTCCTGTGTAATGACTGGAAAAAGTTAATATGGAAAAGCAAAGTACTTTTGACAATTCATTCTTTTCTATTGTCTTAATGGTTTGTCATATTAAAAACAAAGTAACAATCACCCATTTGGAATTACTTTTCCTCGTTGACTTTAGCACTGAAAAAATTAAAACATATTTGCAACCCTTTTTGCAGCTAAATTTTCACTGTCAAAGAGGCAATCCTGTCAATCAAACGCTGTGGGTGGGCTGTGTGGGGAGGACTTTTTAGTGCAGACGTGTTTCAAGAAGTAGTGATGGAAAAAGTCTAAACTGTGGCAGTACTAGTGCATTAGCAACCACTGCTAGTGACATTTTAACATTCAACAAGGCTGAGGATATTTCTGTCCAGTGATTTTGTGTTGTTTCGTGAGCAAGTGGTTCTTGACCAACTAGGACAGCTTGTGGCTGTCATGAGCACAAATGTTAGTGGCATCGTGACTGGCTTTGGGCAGAGGCACGAAGGACTGTCGGAGGACCTGGACGGCCACTGAAAGATAGTCTTGTTAATGAGACAGTGCACATGCAGGGCCACTGTGGGTTAGAGCAGTGTTTCCCAACCTTGGTCCTGGAGGAGCACATTTTGATGTTTTCATTGCTCCCAACACACCTGATTCAACTAATCAAGACCCCCAGCCTTGTTGGCCAGTGTTAAAATGTATTAAGCTATTGCTGCCCCTGTATTGTAAACGGGCATCTAGCTATGAGCCAGTACCACCAAAGTTTAGACCAGGGGTGCCCAATCCTTGTCCACTACTATACCACCACCACAACACACTGTAATATTCAGACACCAATGAAGGCCTTTATTACCTGGATCAAGTGTGCTAGAATAGAGTCAAAACTAAACTCTGCAGGGTAGTAGATTCTCAGGACCAGGACTGAGCACCCGTGGTTTAGACTTTTCCGTCACTAACTAATAAAACACGCCTGCACTAAAAAGTCCTTTCCAACATCCCACCCACAGCGTTTGATTTACAGGAGGGCCTTGGTGACTGTCAAAATGCAACGGTAAACAGGGTTGCAAATACATTTTAATTTTGGCAGAGCTGGAGCACTACGATGAAAAAACGCTTTTGCAAATAGCCAATTGTTATTCTACTTTTAATACATCAGAGTTATACCATTAAGACAGTGAAAATGAAATGTCAAAAGCACATTGCTTTTCCATGTTCCCTTTTTGCAGACGTTCCAGATGCAAATATATATTTGAATTATGTCTTAAATAATGCACACTCGCATGGGCAGTGCAACTGTAAATACACAATTGAATTAGCATGTTTAAATTTGCCTTTGAATATGAAGAATGTCCAGAATATGCTGCCATAAAATTCATCAAAGTCGTTTATTACCAAAGTGCTATCATATATCACAGAGAACATGGTAGGGTTGTGCTATCAACACAGAGTTCAGTGCTCTTCAAGCTAACGTCATGTGTTATAATACTATCACAAGATAGAAGTGTTTGCGCAGTAAACAGGGGACATGTTGATAATAATGGTTAATATGATAAAGCACCTGATTTATATTTTCTGCTTTTTTAGATAAATCACAGTCATGAACTAATCTACACTGTCAGAGACAATGCCTAAAATTTCACTGCAATAGCACATGGCTAAAAATAAATCAAAACTAAGGAGACAGGTCGACATCATGCAAACTACCCTGTACTACCTTTCATTTATTATTAGCAACAGAATCAGTACTTTTCAGGTGAAGTCTTCTGTTAAAATTCTTTTATCTGTGTCTGAGAAATCAGCCTTGGGTCTTCCAGAAATGTTTGTCCTAGCTCTCATTCTGAATGGACACTGGCACTTCCAATCTGTTTCCTTTGAGCAACTACTTTTAGGACAAGTGACCTGAGGGGGCAACATAACAGAAAAGGAAGAAACGAAGGGCACTCAGGGACTCACCGCCCTGTCTTTTTCAGCTCTTCGCCGACTGCGTGTCCCCCGCCTCCGTGTCCCCCGTCATGAGGCGTGTCCCCATTCATCTGTGCATTCTCCCCTCCAGCATACATGTTCTTCCTGGACAGCACACACAAACAATGCAGACAGGGGACATTCAATAGGATAGTCAATAATAAACAGTACCACTCACTTAACCAGTAGGGCTGACGCAAGTTATTTTCACGATTTCATCCAAACTTCATGCAAACAACTGGGACACAAATACTAACGTTTTGTGCCGTCACAAACATGCAGAATACCCGGTGGAGATTATTATAAAGAAGCACTTTCTCCCATTTACCAAGACTGATAGTAAATACTCAACTCAAGGTCAGCTCATGTTTTAAAACAGAAAGTAAAAATTACTGCTTAATTTCCTTAATTTCTGATATATTAATGTCTTATTATTAAAGTCAGTCACGCCAGTATCCAATTTTCTCACCTTTTCGCCTAGCCCCTTTTAACCAGTACCCAGAAAGACATGCATTTCTGAAGCACTGATAGGGACTTACTTATCAAAGATGTACACATGTGAAAATGTTCTCAAATCCACACACCTTCCAGCAGCAACTGTCTCACCACAACAAACACCTTCCAACAACAATACTACATCTAAAATTCAGGTTTATAACGGTTTCATTTGTATGTTTATTAAGCAGAAATCCTATTAAACAAACAAGCCAATAATAAAATTTCTACATTTTTAATTAATCTGATTTTGCACATTTTTGCTTGAGTCACGAGTATTAGCAGTACTATACAGTGTTGTGAAACGGCACTATGCCCACAGTGCAAATGCAGACTGACTGACATGCCGAGACGCCAGCCTGCTGCCACTTAACTTAGAGCCCAAGAGACATCACGTGGCTCATCTCATTAACCGTTACCCTGCTCCTCCTCTCATCTGGCTCTGTCTGTCTTTGCATGAAATAAATAGGACTATGAGTTTCTCACAGCTTCCACAACTTTCTCTTTAGAGAAGTAGAAAACGTTCTTGAAACCCAGTGCCATCTGTAATGAATACTTCTAAAAATTCAGTGGGAGAGATTCATCTAATATAACAGTAAATGGCAAAAGCCAAACGCCAAACTACAACTGATGCAAAGTCTGGACCTTTTATCAGAAGATGGAAGAGACTTTGGAGGCTCTATCCTGATGGTAGGGTCCCATTCGCCAGGAGGGAGAACGATGACTTCATCCAAGAACTCATCGATACCGGCGAGGAGGTCTTGTCTGTCCTTGGCTTTGTACGCAATGTCATGGAAGACCTTCATAAAAGGGCGATTAGATAACGCTGATTAATCAGAGACTTTTCCAGACGTCATATCAAAACAGAAGATTTGTGAAAGCACAATAGTGAGGCACTATGATATTCATATGAATCTCATACATTTACTACAGATACAGTGATATACAATAAAGCATATGCCCAGCTTTCTATTCTTACCTCATCAGACATAAGGGTGGCAATTGCTCTACCAATTTCATGATAAGACTTGGCTTTGCCTTTTGGCCCAAGAAGAATGAACAGGAACCTGTATGGGAAAAGTGTGTTTTCATGTACGTCTCACAGAAAGATTTCAAATAGTAACTGCAATAAAACACTAATTCACTCTGCAATTTAATTACTGCATATTTTAGAAGATTTTAAGTGTTCACGAATGCAGCTTCATCATCCTGAAAGCATCCTAAAACAGATTTAACATCATTCCGTGCCCTATTTTTATCCTCCTTGGGACGACTGAATGGCGTTATTCTGGAGCCTTACCATTTCATTACTAACCTGCTACTTCAGTATGGCATTAATTTTACTACACCATACTTAACATTACTGAAATGTTTGTCTCTTCCACGAGGCATTCTATTTCCTATCATGCTGGTATGAAACACTTCTACATATGCACCATGCTGAGTTCATCTCTTTTCTGCCGCCATCATTCAAAGTTCTGTCTGTGCCACAAACGACTTCTTCTCATAATGCAATGCAATGACAGAAGCCGTATTGCACCCATATTTAGAGTGTATTGAAATCTACCGGAATTACTACACATATTACCATTACAGGTTATTTGTTCTTTTTTAGTAAACAATGCCCCAACAAACTGTCAACTAATCGTTGCAGCCCTAAATCTAATATACTTGATCTAGCCTATCAAAGTCATTGTGGGCATCTAAATTGAGTCCGACATGTTAGATTAGGGAACGTTTGAGGCCAAAATTAAAGATATAAGCAGTCTTTAATGAAATGTAATGTCTGAATTTTGCGATGTTTCAGCACTGGAACTGTTCATACCTAGTTGGAACTGGCACTTCTGTTAGCGCTCCCAGCATGACGGCCTGCTGCAGCCTCACAAAGGCCACAAAAGGAGCGTCCAGAAAGTCCACCTCCCCGACCAGTACATTGGAGGCCTCTGCATCTCTGGGCAGCTTCTTCATAAACTTGTTCTTCAGCTAGACACACAAACAGCAGCAATTTAATGAATCCAGTGAAGACATAGCAAAGGACAGACAAAGAGATGATAATCAAGCATTCACTAACTCCTCAGAAAGGCAGACCATTCAGAGGTTTAGATGCCAAGGCAAGACATTAATGTGATCAAGTGAACACCTACAACTGTCCAAGTGATCGAAATTATGGAGACAGATGGTCATACATGGGGCTGCTAGTCAGCGAGGGCCTTCTATTAGTCCTGCATACCTTTCCTGTCTTTCCACAGGAACCAATGGTAACCTGGACAGTTCTACTAAATTAAGCAGTTCTCGAGGAGTAATGCTATCACTACCGCTGAGACACTGAAGGCCAACTTCAAAGCTAACTTCATTAGTGGACACACAGGCTTTGAGTGAGTGCCAAATATAAAATTTACAGACCAAAGATAATTAGTACTCCCTTCGTACCATAAACTGCCACTGGATAACTTATCTTCAATCACTGCTTCCAAGGTCATCATCACTCCTAAATCTTTCATGAGCTGTTAATTTAATACCATCAAGATTCTAGTGTTAAATAGAGACCTTTAAGCACTTATACCACAAAAGAATCCATATCAATGGGAACCTCAATCTGAAATATGAAATATAAGAAAAACACTAATTCTGGCTGCTTGCAACATCACTTAATTAGTGGTCAAGACATTCATAAAACTAGTGAATGTATACTAAGGGAGTACATTAAAAACTGCTATAAATGTTGGACTAAGCTGATATGGGCACTAGTAGGTTACTCATTGACGTGAGAACACTTTAGTGGAAAAACTTCACCCTAAAGCACCCAAGGACATTCTCTCTAAGGACACAAGGTACACTGCTTATGCATGAAGCAGGAGACAGTGATTTTCCTTCAGCAGGTGTGGCATTAAAGGACTTTGAAACACATAGTAGATAATGGACCAACATAACATGTAACCTCACTCCAGGGAAGTTCAGTCTCTTTTGTTTGTTTGTTTCCACAAATGTGTAGCTAAGTATTAGAGTGATACACTGTTTCATTTCATGCTAAGTAACTGAGAGGCATTAATTCAGAAACAGTGTAAAGTTAACAAGACAAGCTTGATACTGATTTTTTGACACCGTTTAAAGGGTAGAAAGAGAAAAGCCATTTTTATCTTAGCGAATCATCTCTAAAACTAAAGAGTGAGTGTTGCATGGTCAAAGAAAAGCAACGTCCTTTTCTTTTACCTTTCTGATACCGATATTGAAACCTTGAGTACTGGCCGATCAACAGGTTCAATAATTTACTTAAAAAATTAATAAGCTTTAAAATGAGCTATTTTTAATTCAAGTATTTCACTTTAGATGGACATCTATCATGCTTAAACTACTCAAACACTCCAACTCAAAGCAAGAAACATACAGCTAACAACATCACATCAATAATGTGAGTGTGAGCTATTTCAGGAGGATAGATTTATTACAGGATCTGGTCAGAGGAATTCTTTTTTCTACTCTGATTTTCTGCTGATATCGAAACAATACTGATACACACCAATACCAATAGGCCATTTTTAGTTCTCTTACAAAGTTCTTAAACTTCTATAGAGTTGCTCATGCTTAATATGATCGTGACATAAAAACACAAAGATAAAAAAATGTAATTTTTAATATCAGGTTAACTTTAACCTGGTTGTCCTTATGCTTACATACAAGAAGACACTTTAATTCCCACTGGATAGTTTGTTCATTGTCCCAGTTCATGTAAATCTAAAACAGGTTCTATCCAACCTTTCTGGAAATACTGCCTTTACTGACGTGCTTTTGACAGCTCCCTCAGATTTTAGGAAGCTTAAAGTAATGAACGAAGTTCAGTTCAGAATGGCATAAGGCAGCTAGATTAACCAGATCGCATCACTCTAAGATGGAGTAGAGACTAATTAAAGTCTTAACTGAGAAAACCTTAAACAACCTGGAGTGCCTGTGGAACGCCAGAGAGTTGCTGGTAGGCTAAGAGGATGATTCTTATGTTAGTGCAATACTAATAAATCTAAGATTAACTTTACTTTTGAGTTTTACAACTACTGTTACACTTTACAATTACATTGCTTGCAGCAGATTTGAATTAGGGGTAGGATTAGGATTGTGTTATAGTCCTGTTTGCAGATTATAATGGGATCAATAAACATTTTCTTTGATTCAATGTGGTCAAAGGCCAAACAATTTGAGTATACATAAATAAAATTTTGACTTCCTTGTATATTTCAATTACAGCCAGACCCTGTATCAGAAAAAGACACAACATAGACACCAAGCTGAATTATTCATGTATAAGCAACATCTGCTGGCACAGTCTGGAAGATTTCATCAGTGACAACAGCTCAAGTAACATAATGGTGTATGTGCATGGTCAGTCAATGGAGGAAAACCAAAAAGAAAATGAGATCTCTTGGCTCACTCAGGGGACTTCTTAAGCACAAAAGCAGGCCTGAGTAGTTATAGCACTCCTTACACTGAGGAATGGGGGGCCCTAAGGGGAATATTCTTGCGAAACAAAATTAGTTATAAATGATTCATATACTACACAAATGTAATGATTCAAACAGAGAATAGCAGCATGGAGCCAACTGCACAACAGAAAAGAAAATAAGTTAACTCATAAAAATGCTCCTAAAAATGTGATGCTTCTCTAAGTATGGCTGGACAAAAGACAATATTACAATTACTTTGCTACATATTACAATTTACAAATATGCCTTGCAATATAGTAAAAACATTTTGAGGTAAAATGGCTTAAGTTTAGCCTGCACTAGTTTGACCAAAACTATTTACCTTTTTTGCATCATGTTAATCTCTTCATTTAGCTAAACACCCAAAGAAACTAATCTGGAACATCATTAAGAACCGATAACTTTTAACAAACAGTATACTGTGCAGCCCTATCTACAAGCAAAACATGCTAAACAAGTACTGACTACACAGTGAGCAGAGTCAGTGGTCCTGATCTTATATCCATCATTTGTAAATAGATAATTTTACTTATTACTTAAGGAGACACCAGGCAAACTTTTCATGAGTTACAAATTAAGATTATTCCTATTCTCACTCTACACAAGGGGTGTCCAATCTTATCCACAAAGGGAGGTGTGGCTGAAGGTTTTCACTCAAAACAAGCTGAAGCACACCTGATTCCACTCGTTTAATCAGTTCCTCTCAGGCGTCAAACATTTGATCATGTGAGCTCCTGCTTTGTTGGAATGAAAACCTGCAGCCACAATGGCCCTTTGCAGATAAGATTGGACACCCCGCTCTACACTGTTAAATACCAGACCCCACGAATGCCCAGGGATTTGAGAATGTGAGGATGGCATCAGGAGAGAAAAGTGTGAATGTGACAGGCCATCAGGCCTCTTTGCAATGCTTTTCTACCACATGACACACAAACATGCCTTTTTTCAATTTGTGTTTACAATCCCAATCTGTCTACATATCTGGGGCACATAAAAACCTCCACTCAGCCCACCAACCTCTTCCTGGGCTGCCAAATAACAGGACATCTTCTCCTGGTCTCCTGAGGCTGCAGAGTCCCAAGCGTCAGCAGCTTACGGCACTTCATGAAGAACGCTTACACACATAAAACTGTCACGAAATGGCTAGCTACCACCACTGAGGCTCCAGGCTTGGCTAACACTAAGGTCACACAGCCTTGTCAGGTGACAGAAAAACGTTTAGCCAATTTGTCCAGTTCTACCGTTTTGTTAATGCTTGCTGTGCCAAAGCAGAGATGTTATCTCCCCTCAATATTCCCCCAACATGCAGCTGAGCATTTCCTGTTGAGATTGTAGGCCGGTAGTGCTTATCTGCCTGGAATATGTCCTTATGTACCGCTTTGCGGCTCCTTTTGTTTATGTCTGTGATGCACTTAACGTCAAATTTTCCTGGTGGGTAAACAGTGGACAGAATATCAATGCCATTTTATCTGCTTCTCACGAGTGATAAATGATCAATGTAGAGATTGCATGCGTGCAGAGAACAACATAAGTAATTAAAGAGCTGAACAAGAGCTGGATGGACCCAAAGCAGATGTTGGCTAACTGCCAACAAACAAGGAACAGTGCTGTGGCAGAAGTGGTACCAGAGGTTTATTAAGTTGCATATTATTGAGATCTCATGCCAGTCCATCTCTGACCTTGCTTTCATTTAAGATATTAAGTTCATACTCGTAAAATCAATGCCTCAACTTAAAAGAGTTAAAAGAGAGAATAAAAGAGAGAAAGGGAGACGTTTTGAAAATGAACATACCTGATCTTTCTCTGGTTTGTCAGAGATATCATTCATGCTGCTTGACGTCAAGTTCCGGTGCGCAGTGGCGGGACTACCTGAGGAAAATGATTCGTCCCAAAACGGTTAAGCTAGCAATCTCAGATCTCTACATCAAAGTATTGAAAGAGCGTTGAGCATGAAAAAGAGACAGGGGCCCATTCAACTCTGCATGCATGATTTAAAAGAAGTCCAGAAAGCACATCTCAAACAGTAAAGGGAAGGCACACCTTGTTTGTCACTGCCTATAAAATTAACAAGAAGGAAAATAATTAATAAACTTCACAAACAAACTCCAAGAGTCAACTTAACTCCTTTAAATTTAAGTGTGCATTTAACTCTGGAGAAGACAACATAGATGACTTTACCAGACAAGAGACAGACACAAACACCTTTATCTACATTATTTTATGGAAAAATAAACTTACAGTCATGCACTGGATTTTAGCATTTTTACTGAAGTTTTCTGGAAAGCCAAAGTAGCTGGCAAGGTGAAACCTACTGTAGATTAACCATTAAGTTATCAGAACCTAAGACCTATGTGACATGCTGCAAACAGTACAATGAGGGAATAAAAGAAAGGCCAAAGCAGAGTATTCAAGATGCCACTGTGGTAACATTTAAGGAACTCGCTCTTACTTGAAAACACAAATGAAACTGCAATAATGGCATGGGTGTCAGTTTGATGCAGCCAAAAGAATAGAACAAAAAACTTATTTGTGAACAATCTTGTAGCAAGGGCCAATAGTAAAGCACAAATCTTTCTACTTCGGTTTCCAAACTTGATACTAGCAATAAAAACTTATCAGAATGCTTGTTTATGATAAGGTGAAGGTGAGTGATCAAAAGTGCTTAGGATCAAATGCTACTAGGGTGAAGATCAACACAATGGCAAACTGTGAAATTGTCTAAAATTATATAACAATGACTAGTGTCTCATTCTGTGACTATTCAGTAGCTAACACGAATGCCACATACATGCTGGGGTTGACTGTCTAGACACGAATGGCACAGACACACATCAGCAGACAAGCCATCAGATGTTAAACACAACATCTCTAGTACTCCACAATGGAGGGGTCGTGCACACACACACACACACACACACACGAGTGTCACGGTTTCTAGTTGGGGCTACAGTCACTTGACTTACTAAGCCATCCCATGCTCGGACTTCCAGGGGCTTGCAGCTCCTCCTCAGAGGCGCGAGCTGTTAGGCAAGGCACTGAGTTCTCGATTGGACTACGAGCTTTTAGTGGCAGAAGCAGCAGGGGAGATGGAAGAGGAAGAAAAAATAGACAAAGGACAAAGCGAAGCATTTAAGGAAAGCGAAGAAAGGTGGCGTAAAAAGCCAGAGCAATGGTGTTAAAGAGTTAGATATTGTGAAGGAACATAAAAGGTTTCATCTTATGAAATGCTAGAGGAAGTAGCTTGTTTAACAGGCCAATCAGAAGCTCATTTGAGTTACTTCAAAAATGAGCAGTTTTGAAGACTTACAACAGCTGACACACGTAATAGAATGATTAATGAAAAGCCTTGTGGCTGTCTTTTGCTTTTCTTTTAGTTTTATAATGTTTGGCAAAACATTAGAGGTTGTCCACCTGACAAGATCAAGTTTGTGTGCAGTTTAAAATACAAAATGTTACAAGCCAACATCATAATATTGCCTACTGAATCCTTAAAAAGACACTGTCGTTTAGAGGATCCTTCTGAAACAAGAATGAATTCCTCAGTGAAAATGTTAAAGATTCAATTAAGCAATACAAGTATTCAAGCAATATAAGTTAATTATAACTACAGTATACAACCTCATAAAGTTTGCTTCACACAGCACTAAAGAAAATATTTACCAAGGGTGTGTACCGCTGTTGTGATGTTGGTGCTCTTTGCAGATTTGGTATCTGTACAGATACTGTAGCTAATCAGTCTAATTTGATCTACACTGTGACCCTAGTGATGATATTAGTATTATTAGTCAATAGCTAATAAATTGTTTTAGATTAGCCTGTACACAGCAATCTACTTCCTCAACAACATCATGAAACATCATATTGTATGCAATATTTAAAAACATAAATCCACATACACAGACATTTCATTTAATTAAACACAATCAATAAACAGGACAAAGAGGGTCGCTGCTATAGTGTATTAAGGTAATTAGTTAACTGAAAAAAAATGCAAACTTAGTTAAAGAATTGATGTAGATGTAATTCTTTACTAAGTCTATGGTTAGTGAGCAGTACCGGGACTTCATTATATTAGAACTATTAAATGTACTTTTTGATTTTAAGTATTAGCATGATACTTAAAATCTCTTATATGTGCAGTTATATTAGTTATATTTATAGTTATATTAGTGCCATTATACTAAATAACACTAAATGAAAACATCAACAGGATGATCAATAAATCAAAACCATAAATGAAACCATTAATAACAGAACATTTGCTACGTTCTTGTTTCATTTATGGTGACAGTTGATGGAATGATTAAAACTGCATACTGTGTGCTGATTATGTCTAGTTGTGCCACACAGAGTTTCAATAATGAAGTACAGCTTCAAAATTTTTATTGGACTTGAAAAAAACAATTAATGTGGAAGAAGGTGGAACAATTAAACAAATAATTAGCCGCAGGACTGTGAAAGGTCAGAGTGACGACCCTTTGTTTATTTAATTTCCAGTCATTAAGGCCATTAAGTACAATTTTTTTAGATGTAATTTTTACAGTGTCAGAAAAATAGCAGTCTCAGAATAAAAAGCAGATACATGACATTGTAAAAATATAAATACATTTTTCCGAATTTAGTGTGTCCACCATTTGCAGTACAGCTTCCATTCTACTGGGAGACATGCTTTCTGTTTTAAGAAATCTGCAGGAATTCTTTCTCCCACACCTCCAAAGTTCAGTCATAGGAGTTGGTTGCATTTTCTATTTCTATTCCAGCTAAACCCACACACATTCAATGATGTTGAGGACTCCGAAGTGGTAAGTCCATTGTTCTATGAACACCAGCAGCTTCTTTGTTTGATTGGCAAATTTTCTTCTTTTTTGTCTACTTCCTCTTCTCAGTAAGGGATGCTTGACAGCTACACATCCTTTCAGACCCACAGCATTGGGCCTCTTCTTTATGCAAGTGGATTATTTTATATCTAATCTCCTCTGAAAAATCTTCTGCGAAAATGAACAACTTAATGGCCGTTTTGACTTAAAATTAAATAAATGAAAGGTGGTCTCTGATTTTTGCCCAGTACTGTTTCTGAGTTTCTGAAGTACTAGTGAACTAACTTTTGTATGAATATTAGGATTCTCATATCCCTGCAAACAAAGTGTGTTCAATTATGCCTCCGTTTGAGTGAAATCTACTGGTCTACTGAAATCTCAGACATATTTAAACCTATTTTTAAGTATTCTTGAACACATTTGAAAAATGCTCACATAACTGTGAAGCTAAAAAAGTCTGTTTCAAATGATGTGAAAATATCAAGTGGGAGAAGGAGGGAAAAAGTATAAAAGAATAAAAACTGCACCAAACTGGCACCTGTATTACCATTATCCGTGTTGGAAAACAGCCTACTTGCACTGGAGACCGTTTTGCCAATGTCAGCCAGGGAACGCAGATTGGATTTTTTGGTCTGATGGCGATGCTTCCTCAGCAAGGTGTACATGACCTTATCCTTCAGGTCAGCCTTCAGCAGACCACTCTCTATCTGACTGTCCGTGATCATCTCTGAAAAACAAAAAGAGAAAAAGAAGTTTATTTGGCTTCATTAAGTTCTATTCATAACCACACTACAAAAAGCTACATTCTCTGTCAATTCTTTCATGTCAACTTTTCAGTTACATTTATCAAAATTCAGTGAAAGGAACTGCAGGATTGAACTATACATTAACCACTTTTCAAACAAATTAAAACTACCAAAGTTTTTGTGACACATCATATTCTATTTTAAGTCATCAAAGACAGAGACTTAATGAATTTCTGGCTTGTTCATGTCTGGCAATTCTTGCTAGGTTCTATTTTTATAAACAAGGTCAGGGGCCTAAGCACGAGGCTAGGGCCTTCAGGACATGTTTTCTGAATGGTCTAGCGCTTAATGGATAACCCTGAATTCAGTTCCAGTTCAAAAGTAGAATCTCTATAAGCTCAACTACCACAAACTAGAAACAGGACTTGATCTCTAATCTCACACTGACATAGAACAAGAGAATCTAAATTAAAAAGACCACTCTCACTCGATTCCATAAATACACAAGATACACAAACATACACAATTACACCATTACATCAGTGGTGGTTTAATAGTGGTCTCTGAAGTAACAAACCTGACCTTCCACTTACTGTGGCTCGAGTCAATATAAAGGAAATAAATGTACAAGGACAAAAGAGAGCTCTTTGCCTGCTCTGAATGGATGCACCCACCCGTAAAGCTAAGTTTGCAGTTGCAGTGGGAGCTGAAAGCGGAGTGTATTAAATAGATCTATAAATACGTCCTGACATGGCAGCAGTTGGAAAGCAACTAAAAAGACAGGCTGTTAACCGTGACTGAGCCTTCATCATATCACCAGCAGAGCCTCTCACACATATAGCAAAGCTGGCTTTGCTTGTCTGGATGGAAAAATGTCTGGTTCTTGAGCCTAATTGGTGGTTTAAAGTGCTGTAATATAAGTGTACATGTAATGTCTACATTATACAAAGTGGCATTTTCTGAACCAACAGGGTGATAGGGATCGCAGCAATATACACAGTACTGTGTAAAGTTTTAGGCACATAAGAAATTTAGCTATGTGTCTGGTTAGTTAGCATTCATTTCTTCAGAAAAAGAGTAATATTACAAACAAATACCATTAATACCATGTGTAGTAGTGATTTTATATATGTCAAAGTGTTCGCTTAACCATTTCCAAACCTCTCCTTGTGGCATCCCAGTATTTGTAGTTATCATACAATACCTAGTTTGTTTAATCAGTACTTTATGAAGTTAAATCCTGCTAATAACTTTGAACAAATCCGATGCCCTATGTGATGGATGGGGGCATCGAGGAGAGATCTGGAACCAAATTTTCTTCTTCAAACTAGTCCAGAAGACATCATTTCTTTTTTAAATACAAAGAATTTGTTAATGTACTTATGTTTATTTGCATTTATTATAATGATATGTCATGTTTTTCACAAGCACAAACACATTAATTACCCAGATAAATGGTTTTAAATAATGTGCTCAGGCATCTAAGACGTTTGCACAGGACTGTATATAGTATTATATAGTATATAGTTTAGTTCTCATCCTTTGTCCAAAGGATGATCCAAAAAGGGCTGACAGTAATCTTGCCTGCTTTATATTAATGAAACAAGAGCTTAGAACCAAAATGCCACCACGTGCAGGTATACTGATCCAGTGCTTCCTTGGTTTATATAACTGAAACTATAAATGTTCAGATCTACAACTGCTGGTGTAAAAAGCCTATACTCACCCACAACCTGAGGCAGAGTGGTAGCCTCCAGGTCCAACATGATGGTGCCTTTCTCTATACAGGTCCTGAGTTCAAAGAGACTGTGCAAAGAGAGGGTGGCTACATGTGGTTTGCTCCATCGCTCCCCACCCTTTTCCACCTTTTCTTCAAACTTGATCCACCTGAGAAGATGCAAGAAGATTGAGATCGAATGTGTGTTAATGTAAAAGTGTTACAGAATTCTTGAAAGTTCCAGACGTTCTCAATATGCCCCACATTGTATACAAGGAAGTTACAAGTTGTCTTTTATCAATCATAAGTTCTTTTTTATGGAATAAAAGGTGCAAACAACACTTTACATGACTTGTGGTTTAAACAGGTTTTTGTGGATATACTAAATTGTAGGTGTCTTAATACTATTTTCAAGTTAAATACTAGTTGCAGACCTGGCAAGTCAGTATAGAAAACAGTACTTAAACAAAACAGCAAGCCAATGGGCACCGCCCGCCAAAACCTTTTTTCCCCCTCTGCTACACTACTTACTTCAGCCAATCAATTGGAATTCCAGCTAGAAAGTTTCCAGCAAAACATTTAAACAGAGAAAGTAATAAACATATGCCAAATCTCACAATATAACTATTATGTCACTAAAAAGTGTCCCCATCAAAAAGAATCTTAACATGCTACTGCTGCTCTCCGTGAAAGATTAAACCCACTCAGATGAATGGAGTATCAAGGGTGAAGGCCCATAATTGAGAGCACGTCACAACACCGTAACTGGTATGTGCTAAAAGACTTATCTTTTGTCAGAGACCAAACTCCGGTCTGCTTGAACAAGCAGCCAATTGTAGAAACGTTATGGAGTATAATGTTTTAAAGCTGTGCTTTTACAATCTCACCTCTTTATACCAACTGTAACTACATCTGTACTTTATTTACTTTATATATTGTGTTATAATTTGTTCAAATCAAGCAGAGGTTAAAAGGTATTGAAGGTCTGATTTTAAAGGTGTTGAGTAATGTATTCAAGATCAATTGCAATCAAAGTCTTCCTTTTAAAATGTCCACAATGTTCTTACCAGCATGAGTGGTATAGCTTAGCATATTGGCACAAAGCCGTTGCTGGCACTGTGCCACAGGGTCTGGATGTTTTATTCACGAATTTGTCCAAGCTTGAAAAGTACTGCTCTACACAGTACATCCATCGAGTCAAGCCTAGTAGTAGTTAATCTGCTCTTAACAGAAAAAAACATTTTTTTCCCTTATCTTGCACTAACACTATTTAAATTTATTTTATAAAACATGGCAGGTTGTAAATATAGTTTGATTAACTATTAATACTATTACTATTACTATTAATTAACATAATGAAATAAATGACATCAAAAAATCTGAGATTATCCAAAATGTTGCTAAAAAAAGCCAATAAAGAAGCCTCACAACCTAAATGGCCCATATTCTACGTTTTTCTTTTATTTAACTTTTGCCCATAAGGTCCACTAATTTCTGTGGTTCTATATACCAAAAACAATCATACAATAATTTTTACTTCATTATTTTCCAAACTCTCTTTATCTGTTACAATTGAACAAGCTGTTTTTGTTACTGTGCCTTTAAGACTGATATGTGTGAATTAACCCTGTTCTGTCTGGCTGCCCTGTATTGTGCCTCGTTCAAAAAGCAGCCCAAGCTGAAACACTCCTTACAACTTCAGTATGAAGGGGTGAGGCTACATTGCTGTAAGCTAAATAAACACACTGGTTCTTGTGACATTATTAAAACAATGAATTCAAAAGAGGCTGTTTATGTAGCATAATTTCCATATATGGACTGTATAAACTGGGCAGTGAACAGTACATCTTGAAACTTTTGAAACTGTTTTACTTCAAATAGCGCAAACAACTCAGTGCTCCATGACATGGGCCCTTTAACACATTAGCAATGCAAATTCATGTTAATTTTACATGCCCAGTACAGGATCTTAAGCTGACCTCTCATTGAGCAGACGATCTAAAAGCCAGGCCTTGGACAAAGATGGTCTTACCTGGCTGTCTCCTTCCATTCCATCTCCTGGCCGTCCACGGACAGCAGTTCATCCAACTCTGTGAAGAGCTGTGGAGGCGCTGGTCCATCATCTTCCTCACCCAGGATGAAACGAATACGCTCGGCCGCTGGAGAAACTGCAAGAGGGAAAATACTGCGAGTCAGAGGCTGAGGTACACGGCTGTGGACTTGTGGCTTGCCTTCCTCCCCTAAGCCATTGGGCCTGATCTCCGGTTTAATCACTGGAGCCGGCTCAGGTGGAGGGGGGATCTTCACTTCCGACAACTCCTGCTCTGTGTTTGGGTCCTTGGTAGATTCAGACTCTTTTTTCTTTTCTTCTTTGGCCTCGATCTTCTCCACATTGTTGTTGTCCAACATGCTCTCTGGATCGTTTTCTGACATATCCATCCTAAAACCCTCCTAGAAAAAGTTTTACTCGTCAGAGAGCTGGTTGGTGAGGATGGGTGAGAGAGAGATGGAGGTCAAGTTTCACAAGGCCCCCCCTGCAGCCAAGCAACACTCAGACCTTCATTAGAGCACTCCGAGTTGCCGGTTGTCCACTGTCCCCCAGTGTAAAGCAATGACACCCAGGTAGCTTAAAAAAGGGGTCCCCCAGTCCCCTGACAGCAACAGCCCGCCCCTCTGCCGCTCCACCAGTAGCCCCCTCGCCATTGGTCCTCAAGCTCTGGCACCCTGCCCTTAGTCCCTCATTAACAATTAGGAAATGTTTCACAAACTGTTCATTCTTCACAAGAGGGCTTTGCTTTCCTTCTCCCTTGTCTTCTAATTTGAATATTTGTCAAGCATCAGTGCTTGCAGAAGAAAAGCCTGCCAACATTCAATACAGATAAAAAATATAAAATACAGCTGCAAGTGGCAATTTCAAGGGACCGAAAATCAGGCAAAAATCAGGTTACTGCAGCAACAAAAAATACTCAAAATGCAGAATGACTTCTTTCTATGTTTTCGAGGAAATTCAACATATAACTGGGAAAAGACTGAATGTTACGGTTTCAAGAGGCATAATTCTACATCAAAGACAGTGAAGAGAATTTTAACTAAGACAATATAAAGAGTATACTGAGCATTAAGGTTAACTGATAAAAGAATTATGAATGTTTTCAGTAGAGGACAAGGTATTTAACTCAGGTCAGATTCCAAAGAAGTCCATAATTTTGTTCTCTTCCAAGTTCCAGAGCACTTAAGCCAGGTAATCAAAGTTTTGCAGCCCTTGATTATCTGACTCACATGTGTTCAGGGGCTGGAAAAAAACAGCCAATTACTGTCCTTAGTACTGGAGAACTACAAAAGCCACAGATTTGTGCAGCAGACCATGCATGAAAAAGACTGCAGGAGACAAAAGTGTGGCAGAAAAATAAGAGTGAAATATCAGCTTTTCTCTCTTGTGAAATGATTTGTGGTCTTCAGAGAGTTAAATACCTTTGCCGTAGAAGCTTGTGGGTTAATTACCTGTCTTCCTTCTCTAAATCAAGGCTATTTTTTCATATGAAAATTATGTTGGTACGTTCTGCAATGTAATTCACTAGTTTTGAAAGCACTCAGCATTTGAGCATTCAGCTTTTCTCCTCTAATTGTTTTTATTTCACTTTCAATGTAAATTTCATTGTAAAAAAAGTGAAATGAGCTCAATCAAATTCTGCTGCACCAGCCTTGTTGCTGGATTCATTTGGCATGTCATAATACTGCATAAAAGCAAGGGATACCGCCAAACTAAACTTCAGTTGACTGTCAGTTATATACGTCAACAGCAACCTAGATGCATGTTTCAAGAAAAGAACATGCTGAAATGTGATCCATGATTTGGTTTTGACTTCATTGCAGTTGACTGAATGAGATATAACTCCTCACCATCCTCCAGCTCAGTGGTCACAATTGCACGGCAAGCCACTTTTCAAATTGTGCTTGGATATTTTCTGACACGTGTGCTGTTAAATTAGGGGTAATGTGATTCCCTTAGTCACATCTTTAAATAGTTTGTAGACTGCAAAGCGACCATAGGAGATCCAAAGCTGAACTGAAAATTTAGTGTCATTGTCACAAGAACCAAGAACCAGTAAGAAGGTAAGAACCAGTGAGGCAATCAGGTATGTAAGACATACAGTATTTTCCTATTTTGCTTATAAGAGCTTCTAAACATCTCACACTCAGTAATTTAATGAACACAGAAGCTGAGTAGGAGGTGCAGCCTTTCACAGCAAAACTCATTTAGGTTGCTTAGTTGTCCCCACTCTGTTCCACACACTGTGACCCTGAGCTGCATACAGACCACACCGCTACGAATGCCATGTGCTGAGGCTTGGAAAGTCCACTCGTCATCCAGTTGCTAAGTGAGGCTTCGATTGGAGAGACGGGCCGAGGGAGGGAGCAAAAAGGAGAAGAGGGGGACTTCAATATGGGCGAGCGAGCAGGGAGAGCAAGCACGAAAGGCAGAGATGGAAATGAAAATCACATCGTTCAAACGGGTTTCAAAGCTGTGGGCCCAGTCGCCAAGAGCCACAGGCCTGCACAAAGGAGACTTTGTTCCTAAAACAGGGGGCTCATGGGAAAAGCAAGGGGGGAGAATGCCCAGTGTCCAAAAAGGGGCTTAGTGGAGCTGCCACTCCAACCTGGAGAGTCTCATTTTGGCAAACATTGCCATACAACATCGTCCATACAGCACACACCAGTAAGTGCAGCTGCATTCTTCAGTGATCAGAGTTGCAACTGTAAACAACTGCTACTGTAAATGCAGACTGTGGGTACTAGAGAGGTGATAATGTTGTGAATAGTACATACAATCTGTCTGCTTCCCACAGCTTTGCCTCATTAAAATGAAAGCATCTATCTTGCGCTAGTGGCCATAAATTTCTCTTTTATGGTGGAAAGCAAGCAAAATTTTCACACCAAAGGAGTCTTTTGCTAATGACAGTGGAGCTTCTCATGAATGGTCCAAAATGATTTTGTAGTGATGATGAAAGCAAAACACCATCACTATTTGATTGGATTCTACATAGTGGAATAGTGGAATAGTGCAGTATTGGAAGCTGGGTTGGGGGTTTGACGTGAAGGGATGACATGATCAGTCTTTGAAATCGATGTAGTAATCCTCATCCTAATTCTTTACCATGCACACAGCAAACACAAAAACATGTCCTTCAATAACCTTATCCTATGTCATTCGGGATAATCCAGTGTGTAAGGTATGTGTTGGATTGATGAATACAATTTGATATAAACATTTGTTCGATTTCTTCCTCAGCCTGGTGGGCTCATTTTGTCTACCACATCTGGAGTCAACAAGCTACACTGAAAAAGAGCATATGCTTTTTAAGCAACGCACTACATAATCTCACCTTACAGAGATATCTCAGACCCCACTATTACAAAACAAGTGGTCTTCAAAAACAGGCCACATCCTTACTTGGAAGGAAAGAAGAATGAAGCAGCAGACAAGATACACACACACACACACACACACACACACATGCGCGAGGGAGAGCTGGAGCCTATCCCAGCTGTCATTGGGCGGAAGGCAGGACACAACCAGGACAGGTTGCCAGTCTATCACAGGGCAGACAAGATAATCTAGCTTCAATATTTTGTGTAGTAGTAAAGAACTATTATGGTACAGTGAGGTTTTCCACACATTTCAGGAGGCATAAACTAGCCTTTGCCATTCAGACTGTTAGTGTTGATAGAGAAGAGATAGATGAATGATTTGAGTTACTGGGCAGTCTCTCTTATCATTTTAGGGTGGGAATTAAGGAAGTTTAAGGCACCGAAATGAAAATTCCTGTCCTATTAAAGACAAAACTGATCCGACAATAAATAAAAAAGATGTACATAAAGCAAATTTATTAAAATTACTACAGCATGTAGGCTAAAGAATGTGCCATGAAATTTAACATTCTTGACAATGGAGAACAGTTACTCATTTAAAACAATGAATACAATTCTATTATTTTTAAGGAAAAATAATTCTATTATTTTGATCGCCATTTCAAAAACTGAGGCTACAGATAGCATCACTGTGCTAGCTTCTGTTGTTCTTCTGTATTCTATGTATAAAGCAGGATGTCGTGTTTAGAAGAGGTATCAAACTGTATTGTAAAACTGCTTGTCTAATGCCCCTTGTAGAAAACCTGTCATTGAATGAATCATTTTCAGTGTTTTGGTTGTAGACATGGAGAAAAGGCACATCAACCAAAAGTCTTCCAGTTCTAGGTCAAAATCCCTTTTAGTTCAAAACTGAACCTGGATCACTTAGACTCCACCATATTCTTACTCCACAGGTATGCTACAATAGGAACAATCCACAGGCATGCCAGCATTGCAATACCTGAATATTTTTGCCTCATTTTGGAACTACGTCCAAGGATCTATCCATGCCAGTTATGGCTTAAAACACTGTACACCTCCCTGCTGGAAGCAAAATAGGACGAGGACACTGGCTTTGTATCTCCTCCTGGCAACAAACACTGGCGGAAAGCGCCTGATTAGCCACATATCAAGACACAAAGAGGACTTGAAATTCACTTCCGATAGTGGTCCACATTCACTGACGGCACGAGGAGGAGGAGGGAGTAAGAGTAAGCTTGAGAAAATTATAACTTGCCAATCAAAACTCATTGCATAAATACCACTAGGAAATACTGTAAAAACAGGATAACAGGCCACTTGAAATTCTGTTCTAGGCCACTACAGTTGAGCAGGTCATTACTTTCAAGCTATTTTCATCTACATATTAGCTGCAAACTGGTCATTGACAGGATCATCTTGAAGCAAGTAATTTAGCAAGTGTGAGTACTCACTGCAGCATGCAGCCACACTAGGTAATGATCTGTAAGGGAATTTTCAACTTTATCAACTCAAATACAAACTTTCAGTTAAGCACATTTACAGTGACACAACTCCCAAGTTCAATGAAATCATGAAAAAACATCTGCTTTAACATGTCTGTTTATGTAGAAATTATCATCTTAAGAAAGACAATTTCTATTTTCTAGGTTTTTCTGGTGTGCAACAAACAATATGCCCAGATGGGCATTCTGCTGCTGTTTTGGATCAGTCGAGCTATGAAACAGGAAAAAGGAGCAAACTGAAATGCAGAGAGGTGTCACATGCCTGTGATCAGTGG